TGGGGATAGCAAGGAAACATGGGGACTTGGGGGAAGGAGAGTGAGGAGAATAGCATTAAAAAAATATTTTCTACTTTCTAACCAAACACTAGAAAATATTTTCCGGAAAAAAAATTTCATTCAACAATCAAACAAGAAAAATAAGTGATAAAATCACTCATTTTCCATGAAAACATTCCTCCGTACCAAACACACCGTATATGTTAGTGAAAGAGAATACTCTCCCGAAAAGTCATATCTAAAGTTCTATAAATATAAAGACACCCAAAAGTTGTGTAAGAAGATTTGCAGGTATGCAGTGGTTCTGTTGTATCCTGAATGGACTTGCCCGTATTTTTCCAGAACAGCATACGCGCAATATCTCTTCAAGGAAAGTTGATTTCACGCCTGAATTTTTTTCTTGATTTCTTCTTTAATTCTAGCTTCTTATTTTTATCACTGCAAAAAAAATAAAAAAATCGTTGTATTATAATTGGGTAAATAGTCTGTGAACCAAACAACTTCTATAAGAGCTAAACTTTTATGTATTACATAGTAATATTTTTCATTATTAATTTAAATCCTTTTGAAATAGCGTAACTTTTTTTTCACTATTCACAATTTAATGATGTAGTAAGTTAAGTATAATTTTTTTTTAATATTATAATCGACAGTCATCATATACATAAATTTTCATCATTAAATCTTATTTTTACGCGGAATAATATACAAAAGTGTTAAAGAGAAATATATATTTTAACCGTTGTCAAAAATAATAGTCGATAAAGTGTATATAATATATTCAAAATATATACTATATTTTACATATTTTTTGACTAACAAATACAATTAATTTGAATCGTCCGACCAATTTCATATTTAGTCCGAAGTATTTTTATCGAAACGGAGGTAGTATATATTACTGCATGCTTCTTTAAAACCAGAAACTAATTTACAAATGGCCACTCAGCCACTCCTCTTTTCTCCAACTCTGCTCTACGACTCTGCATCAGCGTCAATTTCTTCTTTTTCTCCATATGGCTTTTCACAAATAGCACCATCTGCTAGCGCTACTCCATTTAACATTACCCATTTGGCCATTTTCGCAATTTCTTTCATTTTGTAGTTTAGAAAGTTCTTTTTGGCTTTGAATCATTTGTGTTAAGTTTCAATGGGACCCGTAAGAGGGTTAAAGAGGAACAAGAAGGCATACAAGGATGTTGACCAATATACCCCTGTTAATTCTATGTTATCTCAACCTTGTCCCTCATATTGGTGGGACGACGATTTCTCCAAAAGGATTTCTGGTACAACTTTTATACACTAAACTTTTGGAAATATTTTGTTCAGTGCATGTAGTTTCTTGATTTGTGCTGTTTCCTTCATGTTATGTCTGATATATGCTGCATTTTTGTTTTCTGTGTTTGGTTGGTGTTGCGTTTGTTTCGGATTCTTGTCGTCTCTTAGTGAAAATTTTGGACGAGGATCAACTTTGAGTTATATTAAATTGATTTCTGCTCTTTTATATTCTGGGTGGTTTTAGTGAGAGCTTGTTATCCCACGTTACAATTGGGGCGGAGGAGAGCATTGGCTACGGGTTCAGACGAATACAATATATTAGAAAATTTGTAAAATATGTATAAATATATAATTGCAAATCCAATAACTAAGATGAGTTATGAATTCAATGATGAATTCAAATCTCATAAACTTTAAATCCTAGCTCCGCATTTGATCGCATTAGGTATAAAAAAATTTACATAAATTGGTGTATAACTTATTACATGATTATTTATGTAGAAATTTGAAAAGAAAATCAAATAATATAAAACTAATACTGTCAAACTTCTCTATAATATTCTCATTTGTTCCAAATATTTTTTGGCTGCTACAGTGAAGTGATGTTATTGATCACGTATTGTAAGATGTCATAAAAATTAGTACTCCAAACAAAACTTAACCGCTATAGTAAACTGTTGTTATAGAGGATGAGTTTTATAGAAAAGTTTGACAAAATTTTATACCATAATTATTTTTTAATATACCAAACCAAACACTCCTTATACTCGTTTAAGGGGAACAATTAATATTGAGATTATAATTAGTGGATTAAATAAATGACATGATTAATAATAGATATATTTTTATTAGTACATGTTTGGTTCATTTGATTAAAAAAGAGATATTTAACGTAAAATAAAAAAAATATGATTGGTTTTACACTAGATAAACTTGAATAATTTTTTATTTTCAATTTTAACCTTATTTTGTAAAGGACTTTGAGAAAAAAGCTTTGGAGAAGGTCATCTTTGTCACTTTATTGTTGTATCCCGGGATTGATAATCCCCTGATTGATATCTCACATATGTGTGGTATAAAAAATAATACCACAAGTAATGTATAAACAATCATATAATTCTTTATACCAAGATAAAAAATTCAATCAAACGCCAAATAAAATAATCTCATATTCAATCTCAGAATTATTATTCCTTGTCCTTATAGCCAAACGACCCTAAAGTTGTTTGATTCATAGCGAAGGATAGTAATTTAGGTATTGGTTATATCATAATTTTGGTATTAGTTTTACACCATATTTAATTTAATGTGGGATAACAACTTTGGAATAGCTAATCTTCGGACAACCAGTTTTTCTCCGAATCCGATAAGGGTTGTGGTGGAGTTGTAAGTACTCTTTCATCCTTAACTAAACGTCTCGGGTTCAAGCCCTTGAATATGAAGTCACTTTTGTTAAGGAGCACTTTACCCCTAATGTGGAACTTTCCGACGCGAATCCAAATTTAATCGTACCCCAATGCGGATATCTGATATCGGGTTGAAATAAAAAAAAAATGTAGTTTAGGAAGGCCAAGATAAAATTTGAAATAATGCTTATTCAACTTTCAATTTTATTTATTATAGAATCAAACACACATTTTATATTATAAATCATATATTTATTTTAAATCTAATGAATGAAATATTTTTAATTTGTATTATTATTATTTAATTCTCATATTATAATTTTCACATTATTATCCCTGTATAATTTGTTTTCTAACAAAATAAGTGCACCAATGTCTTTTAATGGAAACGGAGGCATATATAACTGCATGCTTCTTTAAGACTATAATCTAAAAATTTACAATTAGCCCCTCAGTCTCTCCTCTTTTCTCCACTCTCTGCTCTACGACTCTACATCAGCGTCACCTTTCTTCTTCTTCCTCTATAAGCTTTCACAAATAGCACCATCTGTTAGTATTCCTTCTTTCAACCATAGCCCATTTTCTCAAGTTCTTTTTTGGGTCTGTAGAAGAAAGTTTTTGGCTTTTAAATCAACTGGGTTTAAGTTTTAATGGGACCCATAAGGGGATTAAAGAGGAAGAAGAAGGCAGACAAAGATGTTGACCATTATACCCTTCTTCGTTCCCCGTTATCTCAACCTTGTCCTTCAGATTGGTGGGACGACTTTTCCAAAAGGATTTCTGGTACATAACTTTCAACATTTAGTTTTCTCAGAAATTAATATTTTTGTTTATGTGCATGTATGTACTTTCTTGATTTGTGCTGTTCTGTTCATGTTGTGTTTGATGCTGCATTTTTGTTCTGTTTGGTATTTGTTGTGTTTTGCAAATTTTGGACGAGGGTCAACTTTGAGTTATGTTGAATTGATTTCTGCTCTCTTTATATTCTGGGTATTTTCCTTTCTTTGGAGAGAAATGAAGGAAAAAGATGGGGAGTGTGTTGGATTGTGTGACCGTCGAGACGAGATGTTATTTACTTACTTATTCAACATGTGGAGATTGATTCTTTTATTTATTTTTGGTTAAACACATGAAAATACGTTTGTGTTTGTTGAATGGTGACAATGAGACTTGAATCCAAGATCTCTTTGCTGTGTGATCCTTATTCTAAAAGCTTAAAGCTAATATTTTTATTTATTTATTTATTTTGGATGTAGCATGTAATTATGGGGTTCAACCGAACGCAATATTTTAGACATGTAACAAAGCTATTTATGTAAAAGATACTAAATTTCGACAAATATTAAATTTTGAATCCATAATTTCGAAGGTGTAATGGATTCAGTAGTAAAAACTTAACGATTGAACCAATTGAGTGTAAATCGTGGAGCTTGAAGCAATGTAGAAGAAGGAACAAGGGTTTGTCTTTTGTAAGTAACTGATCAAAATGTTACAGAAGTCAGGATTAATGTGAGTTTGACTTTTCTTAATGACATAATAAGGTGCTAAGTGTTAGCAAATTTTGGGAGACATGCACTAATGATGATTGGTTTTGCATTTACTTTTAGTCTTTTACCATTAGTACCATTGTCATAGCTCAAATCCATGGCATGTATTGTCTGCTTTGGTCCAACAGAGCTCATGACTTTGTTCTTTATGCCACATCAAGTCCAAAAGTGTGCATACCGGGTGAACCTGTGCTTTGTTTTATGGTACTTCACTTTCTTCTCCCTTTCGGATGTAGTATTTACCTAAGGTCTTATGCACCTATTCTTCGGAAGCTTGCCAGCCTAGAACCTCGCTAATTCCGTTCCTTGACCTGCACTCATCAGATCACCCTCTGTCATGGGCATCACAACAATTCACTATGCTCCCGATAAACTTTCCATTTCCTTCCAATTGTTTAGCTTAGTAAAACTTGTTGCAGCTTATTCTCAGTTGTTATTTATTCGGGCTTGAAGAACAGACTGCATCATATCCTGATACCATTAGAGTTATTTAGTTTGCAGCGTGCCGCGCACATGAGCATCTCTGAGAACGTCTTTATAAAAATAAAAATAAAAAGATGCTCTGAAAATGTATTTAGTTCTGTTTTCCTTGAAAAATGAAGGGAAAAATTAGATCAAGAAGATCGAAACGAGGGAACAAAACTGGCATTATAAACGAAGTAGCTTCCCTTCCCTTCTGTTACACCTGAACCATGTTTTAAGGATGGAGCTGAACTGCTGAAGAAGTACAAATCAATTCACCAAAATATCCTGCAATGGTTAATTAAAGTTCAAATCTAGTCAACCTGTCTAAGTGATTTTTGGTCCTATGGTTCTCGGCCGGTAGGGCCTTTTGTCTAGTAACTTTACACTGGAACATGCATCTGACTGAAAGTGGAATCAGTTTTTGGTCTTCCCCTTCTCTCAATCGCACTGACAGAGAAATGCATACTTATAAATGAGTACATATTGTTGTTTCTGGTGTCAATGCTTAGGTAAAGATTACCTACATAGGTTTGGCTTTACAAATGAGTAGAGTGCTGGAGATGTTCTCTGCAAAGTAAGATCTATCAAATGATATGATGTTAATTTCTTTAGGCAATAGCCTCTTCAACAGACTGTTGTAAGCTTGAGCTTAGGTGTATCAAAACTGTGAACTCAAAAGCTGTGCTTATTGATATGTTTGAAGTGTTGTGCTGCTTGATTTCTTTCTTCTGACGAGCAGTTTAATTCAGAACCGCTTTCTTTTACTTTAACCCCTTCATTTAAATGCTCAACTCTTCTTAATAGCTTAATAAGCTTGAGGATGAGCTTCCAAGCAGATACTTTTATGTTTACATGTGCTTGAGATATTTCTGCCAGACTGAACTATGATTTTGAAGAGGCTATAATAGTTCGTATGGTCTTTGATTCTGCAATGATAGCTTTTTAATGAGTGAAGATTTGTGAAGAAGAAAGTACTGAGTTCACTAGGGATGAAGAAATGGAAAGGAGACTAAAGGATGGAACAAAAGGGAGGACATTGAATTACGACTTGCAAACTTTTAATAGTTAGTTGGAATGCAAGCCTCAAGGGCAAAAAAGTTGACATATTACATACTCGTTAAAGGGTTCAATCTCAAAGGCATTGTTAACTTTTAGGAGGATAGTTCATTTCTTAGCCTTAAAGTCTTCTTTTGAAATTTCATCCGAATAGCTGAACCAAACGATCGTTATAGAGTTCTAGTCAGCTTCCAATATTTAACTATACCAGGTTGGTTCAGCTATTGGGTTGAAATTTTCAAAAGAAGACTTTCGGTATTGAGGCTAAGCAACAGGAACTAATGCTATGCTAGTGCACAGCTTAAGACTGTTGCTGCGTAAGTTTATGGACTAGTGATTTCTTTTGACTGTTTTAATCTAGCTTTGAGAACTGAAGTGAATATGGTATTTGCTTTAGATTCCGAACAATGCAATTAAGTTTGTTATATAGCAAAGAGGTAGCCATTTAGGGAGAGATTGTGGATACATGAACGTGAAAGTGCTACAAGAAATTTTCAAATACTGCACAAAGTGATGGTTATGTGTATCCTTAGCTCCTAAACTTCTGCTCTTCCAATATATAAATTATAATAGTTTTTGAAGAGAATTGTCGTCCTGTTGTAAAACAGTTTCAGGAAAAAGGCCTAAAACTTGGACCTCTTTCTTGCTGGTTGAGTTCCTAGTTAGTACTAGGTTTGGAAAAAGATGGAGTTCTTCTATCTTTATAATGAGAAAATATTCATCAGTTTAATGGCCTGTTTGCAGCAATGAAATATGACCCTCTTTCTGTTTGTCGCTTCTCAGGGACTTCAGTAAAGAAGGGAAATTCAGTTACATTTGAATCGCTGTTCAAACTTTCAAGGAAGACATTTAACTACATCTGTTCACTTGTGAAAGAAGAGATGATGGCAAAACCAACGAACTTAACTGATCTCAGCGGCAAGTTTTTGTCTCTAGATGACCGAGTTGCTGTTGCTTTGAGAAGGCTTAGTTCAGGCGACTCACTTTCAAGTGTCGGTGAATCTCTTGGAATAAACCAGTCAACTGTCTCTCAAATAACTTGGCGATTCGTGGAAGCCATGGAACACAGAGGCCTTCACCATATCCATTGGCCTTCAAATCAAGAAGATATGAAAAACATAAAATCGAAATTTGAAAATATCCAAGGCCTTCCCAATTGTTGTGGTGCCATTGACACCACACATATCATGTTTTGCCTATCGACAGACGTCCCTTCAAGTAAAATCTGGTCCGATTTGGAAAAAAATCACAGTATGCTTTTACAAGCAATTGTTGACCCTGACATGAGATTCCTTGATGTTGTCGCTGGTTGGCCTGGAAGTCTAAGCGACTCGGAGGTGCTCAAAAGCTCAAGAATTTTCACACTCACAGAAGAAGGAAAAAGGCTAAGTGGAAACAAAATTAAGCTCTCAGATGACACAGAACTGAGAGAATACATCGTTGGAGACTCGGGATTTCCCCTTTTGCCATGGCTTCTTACTCCTTATGTTGGGCGCGGACTATCTGATTATGAAGCTGATTACAATAAGCGACATTTTGCAATGAGGAAAGTAGCACAGAGAGCTTTAGCCAGGTTAAAAGATAAATGGAAAATAATACAAGGAGTAATGTGGAGGCCTGATAAGCATAAGTTACCACGGATTATTCTTGTATGCTGCTTGCTACACAATATTGTCATCGATTTAAACGATGGAGTTGACGACAAAGTGCCATTAACTCATCATCATGATCCTGATTATGGGCAACAAGTTGGTGATTCTACTGATAAATCTTCTTCAATTCAAAGAGAGAAACTTGCTCTCTACTTAGCTAACAAGCTGCAATCTTAACTATGTCCTAGGTTGTTCTTCTTACTAGTGAGATATGCTCAACCATTCTTTGTAGTTCCAAAAGCTGGCAAAATTAGTCAGTTTATGATCCCATGTAGTTTTATGTCAAGTGAAAGTACCATCTTGTGAAAAGACACCAACTATTAACAACTGTGAATTTTCATGATGTTAGTTATACTGCCCAAATTAATACAAATCCTCTGTATCCATTTTGATTTATAAGATTGGGTATTAATCTTTCCAAAGGAGAACTTTCTAAAAACCATTATATTTAGCTAGTGTTTGGCCATAGATTCCCAAATTTATTTTGAAAAATCTGATTTGGGTGAAGTTTGGTTTGAAGNCGGGTTATTGACCCGCCCAAAAGTTAGGCCAAGTTGGGCTAAAATTTGAGTCATAACCCAACCCGCCCAACTCTTACTAAACTTTAATTAATGTGTATTGTTTTCTTATCCGTTGTTAATAATCAAATAAGACTTTTTTTTCTTTTGTTATGGTCATGTTTAACATATAAAAAAGAAGTTTTTTAAAGATATTTTAGCAAAGTTACTCAGGGAGAAATTCAAAAATACCCAAATTTACAAGCGGTCATTTAAAAATAGCTACAGTTTCAAAAGTAATCGAAATTTAGCCACTTTTCATGTAAAGATAAATCTGAACGAAAACACTAATCAAAATCCGGAAAATACTCCAGCATAATATACTCGAATTCCAGTATAATATATATATTGGAGTTCCAACATAAGTACGTTGGAACTCCAGTATATTATACGGGAGTTATAATATATCGGTCTAGTATAATATGCTGGAAGTTCATACACAAGTGCTCCAATCTCCAGTATATTATGTTGGAACTTTCCGCGTGTTGGAGTTCTAGCATAATATGCTGGAAGTTCATACACAAGTGCTCCAATCTCCAGTATATTATGTTGGAACTTTCCGCGTGTTGGAGTTCTAGCATAATATGCTGGAAGTTCATACACAAGTGCTCCAATCTCCAGTATATTATGTTGGAACTTTCCGCGTGTTGGAGTTCTAGCATAATATGCTGGAAGTTCATACACAAGTGCACCGATCTCCAGTATATTATGCTGGAATTTTTCGTGTTGCAGTAAAATAGTGACTATTTTTCAATGACTTTGCAAACGCTGGCTATTTTTGAATAAACAGTCCAAAAACTGGCTAGCCCGTGCAATTTTTACAGTTACCATAGATCAATTTGGGCTAAAAATCTGCCAAACTTTAGATGGCTGAAACGGTTGGGTCAAAATGGATTGCGTTCAACAAATAAGCGGGTCAATGACCAGCCTAGCCTTGACCAGGTCAAATAGATTTGGGTTCAAATTGTCACCCCTAGACTATTAGATAGAGTATAAGTCTTGGTGTGTGCATTTGCTTTGTTTTGTTCGCTTTGAGTTATTTTGATTTCGTATGTAAATAGGCAAACCAATGACCAATAGAAATAGGATTTTGGCATGGTATAACAACTTACCTACATAATTAGCACTTAAAAGCCCTAGTTATAGATATTGGCATCAGATAGCCAATAAATGTATATCACAATAATATGGAAATCATAATTTTATTTTACTTTTTTTGTGTATATTAAAATATATTAAAATTCTATTTTTCTTCTTTGTATATCTAAAATATGAAATTATAAATATAGTTGTTTAAGTTTTATTGTTGTCTCTATGCCAAAGCATATCCAAGTGTATCACAAAAATAATTCTATTGTTTGTATATCATAATGTATAACACATCAAATAATGTGTATATCAAAATATATATTAAAACTTTATTTTTCTTTTTTGTGTATATCAAAATGTATATCAAATTTTTTACCAAAAATTTATTTTTCTTCTTTGTATATCTCAGTGTATAACACATAATTTCTTATAGATTCACACAAATATAGATAGTAGAAATACATTAATATACAAGATGAGAATTAGGACTACTTTTTCAATCAAAAACAGCTTTGTAAAGGAGTTTGAGAAAAAAACTTTGGAGAGGGTCATCTTTGTCACTTTATTATTGTATTCCGGGATTGATATAGTCCCCTGGTTGATATCTCACATGTGTGTGGTATAAAAAATAATACCACAACTAATGTATAAACAATCATATAATTCTTTATACCGAGATAAAAAAAATTCAATCAAATGCCAAGTAAAATAATCTCATATTTTATCTCAGAATTATTATCCCTGGTCCTTATAGCCAAACGAACCTAAAGTTGTTTGTTTCATAGCAAAATGCTAGTAATTTGGGATTAGTTATACTATAATTTTGATATTAGTTTTATACCATATTTAATGTGGGATAACAACTTTGGAATAGCTAATCTCGGGGCAACCGATTTTTCTCCAAATCCGACAAGGGTTGTGGTGGAGTTGTAAGTACTCCTTCATCCTTAACTAGACGTCTCGGGTTCAAGTCCTTGGATATGGAGTCACTTTTGTTAGATAGCATTTTATCCTCAATGTGGGACTTTCCGGTGCAAATCCAAATTTATTCGGACTCTAATGCGGATATCCTATATCGGGTTAAGTACTTTAGGAAGGCCAATGCATATCCAGAGTATCCAAGTGTATAACAAAAAATAATTCTATTGTTTGTATATCACAATGTATAACACATCAAATAACGTGTATACCAAAATGTATTACAACTTTATTTTTCTTTTTTGTGTATATCAATTTTTTCGGCTAAATACATAAATTGCTCATTCAAGTTGTCCACAACGGTCATTTGAACACCTTAACTTGTTATGTGACCAGATAGACACATCTGCTTGGTAGAAGTATATTCTCTTAAACCCCTTACGCTGACATGGAAAATATTGTGCGTTACACTTACATCTAAGCGCGTGAAAATCTTTAATATTAGGCTTATCTTTTTTCGGGGGTTTGGATAAAAACACAAAAACTGAATTGGGGGTTTGGATTTTCATTCAACCTTTGCAAGATCTGATTTTCAATATCCGTTCAATAATTTTCTGATCGACGAGACTATCATCGACAACAAAAAACATGAACTTCATCAGAATCAAAAGACGGGCACAAATTATCAAACTCCTCCATCTTCTCCGCCCTCCACCGCCGCAAAAATACTCCATTCCTCGCCATGACTAAAATATACTTCGGAAGAAGTGAAAAAAAAAATTCTAGGGAGAAGAAGTGAGAAAACTGTGCTCTTTATTCATATTATACAAAAGGGGTGTTGGAATGTTAGTAAAATGTCTTCTTCATATACGAACTACGATATCTTTTACTTTCTCTCTATATATATGAAAAAGAACAGAGTGTTTAAAATCAAATCCGGTGAAATCTGGTGAATCCAATTTTCACTCAATTTCATGGGTGAAAATTACCGGAAATCACTGATCACCACTCAATTTCATTCAATTTTATGTGGGATTTTGTCATCCAATTTCTTGGAAGGTGCTAGGAAATCAGTGTGAGGGGTTATTTGGGGGAGGGGGGGAGG